TTTCGGGGTGAGAATTGTGAACTACTGGAACAACCTGCCAGAGAGCATTGTGATGGCTCCGAGTGTGAGCTCATTCAGGACCAGACTTGACCAACACTGGAGTAGGTTCCAATATATTCAGGAGCCAGTGTATGCCCAGTATTTGCCAACAGTGTATAACAGAGACGTGACCGATTAGTTCAGAGGCAGATCCAGGGGGATCCTAGGGGTCCACTTCACACATGTCATCTGGAAATTCCAATACTTTTCTTTAATGCAATATTGTACTCTGGCATTTTTGTATACTGAAGTAAAAAATAATTACTATTGACCTTAGAATGTCTGCTAATATCAAGTGCACATGGCTTCAAAATGCCCATAATATTAGTCAGATTAACAAAAAGGGGGGGGGGGTGCTATACTCGCCATGGTCCCTCTCACCCACAACTTCTTGGACCCCCCTTTTGATATTCCTGGATCCGTCCCTGTAGTTATAAATTGGTCCCTCGGTTAACGAGCACAATCCGTTCCAGCAGGTTGCTCGTTAATTGGTTCCAGCTCACCGAAAACTGCCTAAATTCAACAAAAGAGGTAGAAAGGTACACTTACTTTGAGGTGTGTATAAAGAAGGCTCCTGGATGATGATGATGATGGGAATTAGAATGGGGGTGGAGGAGAAGGGAGAAGAGAAGGCATTGGGGTGGAAGAGAAGACACCCCATGGTGCCATTTCACCCATAAAATTTTAGTTCTCTTGGTGTAATTCAAGATTATTTTCTTTAAATCAACACTGCACTGCATTATATATTGTCAATATGTAAAATAAATTTCAAAATGACCAAAAATTTGCTTGCAAACACAGAAAAAAGCATTTAGTTGAAGAGAGTCTCAAGCAAGATGTTACCTCCACTGAAAAGACAGAGAGACTGGCGCCTGTCTGGTGTGTTGACAGGCTGGATGGCGTGCATGAAACTAGTTTCCTTACCTTCAATTATGTTCAATAATTGTTATAATGACTAAAAAATTTAATATTAAACTTTTAAAATTATTGAATAGTATAAACTTCTTGATATTTACTTAAATAGTAAGGAATTTAAGCCCTAAAACTGATTACTGTATTGGCGGACTAATACTACAGATGGTGAACCGCCAAATGCAGGCGAAAATATGTTGAGGTTGACTCGTAAAAAACTTGTTAATCGAGGGATAGCTCGTTAACCGAAGTAAAGAATCTTATGGAAGGTAAATCGTTAACCGAAATCTCGTTAACCGAGGCGCTCATAACCGAGGGATCACTGTACAGTACAGTATATTCTTGTATAAAGATGAATTATACACAATGCACATTTCCTGAGCATATTACAATACAGTATAATCATGTCCATATCATATGTAATTGTGGTAAAAATGAAGATAAATTGAGAAGAAAAGGTTCTAAACATCAACACAATAACAGCATGAGTGGAGGTGGGAGTAGCAGACAGCTTACTGTGCTTACATTTTTCTTCATACCTGGTTTCACCAGATGACAACACACAAGTGATGGGTAGCCACCATAAGATTAACAGAAAATAGGAGATTGAATAGGAGAGAGGAAATTTTTTTTGATGGCCGTGGTAGTACTGCACTGCAACCATCGCATCTTAAGGTAATGTTGCTGAAGTAGCACTTTTTGGTTTTACTAATTTAACTATCACCCCAAAAGGGTTAAAAAACATTATTTCTTAGTCAAGTGTACGTATCTGGAGTTAGCAGACTGCTGTCCTATTAGAGATCACAGCCTCAAGTTAAAGAAGCTATCAGTAAGAAAGATAGTTATACAGTAGCTAACTTCATTAGAGTAGGAGTTGTGAACTCTTAGAATAACCTGCCAGAGAATGTTGTGACAGTACCAAATGTGAGCTCATATAAGACCATACTTGACTAACACTGACACATGCTTTTGTACATTCAAGTCTATACATGCCAACTAAGTAACAGAGAACAGAACAACTACGTGACTGGATAGTAAGCTGACAAGTGGCAAAAGGGATACCAGTAAAGTCACATTTTTGCATATTACTGTACTGCTCTCCTGCGAAGACAATGTACCGGGTAAGTTCAATTAATTAAAAATAAATGTATAAGAAGCATTATTTATTGCCAGTTCTGCAGCACTGCTACACACAAAATATCTTATTCAAGTTGATAACAGGTTATAATATACATACTGTACTAAATATTGGAATCTCCAAATATCATTATTCAGTAATGAATGACAGTATCAAACTTTCAACAATTTCTGTACATATAAATGACTGGTAACAGGAATGAACACATTCACACTCCTTCCATATTCTGACATAATTAACAACTTCATCCACAGCAGGATCACAGGGATACATTCACTGGTATGGTGGGTTGAGTATTGCTTAATGTTTTACACTGCATATAGTCCTATTTATGCTAGTTTTACTTGAAATCCACTACTGTTCATGAAATCTGAAACGTAATTCTAAATCTTCAGTTAAGAGTAAATGCAGGTGAAGATGTTGCCCAAGACTAGTCCAGGATTTGATGGTGCTAATAAGACTGCTTTCATTTGTGACTACTGTAGCAAAATAGTAAATAAATGTTCTCATTACTTTTGCATTTACTACTTTCTTTGTACTTTACAGATGATTTCACCAGTCTGCTTTTTCTTACCCAACACCCATGAAATTGTAATTTTTATATTCAATGCCTTTCAGAACTTTTAGTGGGAATTCTGTCAAACAGGCCAGTGCAACTTGGTTCTTCCATAGTTTGTAAGCATTATAGATTTAAGTTTCAGCTTGAGTTTTAGTACTCCATAAGATACTTTCAACTAGCTCTAATTCTTGTATCCAAAGTTAAATCTACTTTACAGGACATATTACATTTGTATAAAATATTGGACGAGTGAAATTGGGTGGCATTTGGGTAACAAGTGGCTGTTTCTACTGAATTAACAATTCAGTTTCTATAAAATAATGGAATTGACAGTTATTACCTACTGGACAAGTGTTCAAGTGAAGCACCATATAATTCAATATTTAATGTAATGAAGCACTGCTAATATTAAATGTTGAAGTATTTCCTCTTTCATTTACCAAAGCATCACTTAAGGTTTTCTTAGCATTGTTTAGAGATCAATTAAATTAGATGGTTCTGATAAAGAAAATCCCTAAATATCTGTAATCTTTGCAAGGTGCTATACTGTACTGTACATAAAAGATGAAGTTTCAGCAATGATTTCTGACACAGAAATTTACATCATCTTATCTAATCTGCATACAGTATATCCATTTTTTTTCACCTTTGTATATACAGGTACGCATTTATTATCAAACCATTTCAATGGAAGACCAAAAGCAATTTTACTACCTCTAGAAATTATGCTTTGAATTGCTAGCAGAATACCGTAATTAAAAGATGGATGAAGTTTTAGCAGATAACTTTGATAAGGTCAATGAAATTATCTTACTATTTCTGGGTACAAAACCAATTCAATCATCGGACTGGATTTGATATACAGTAATATCTCCCTTAGCCGGAATCCCTCAAACCCGCAACTCTCCGATAGCCGGAATTGAAATTTTCTCGGAAATTCGTTCCCAAAGCCGGAATTTTTCCGAGGGGCACATTTTCTGCAGAATTCCCAAAAAAAAATTTCCCGATACCCAGAAAATTCCAGGGACGGGGGAGTTTTTCCGGGTTTGAGATATGAAAATCAGGCGCATTTTCTGGAACTACCGAGAAAAATTTTCCGTTACCTGAAAAATTCCGGGGATGAGGGATATTTTTCTGGGTTCGAGATGATGTAAGGGGCAATTTCTGGAACTTCCGAGAAACTTTTCTGTTACCCGGAAAATTCCGGAGACGAGAGATTTTTTTCCGGCTTTGAGAGTCGTCTCGTTACCTGGAAGTGCTCTACACCAATTGTTTCGGCTAACGGGGATATCACTGTATCTTAGGATGAAAAACTTAAACCTTAAAATCAATGTATTGCTACGCTCATAATGAAAGTACCGTACTGTACTAGTATATACTGTATACAGTATTTTCTTTTAAATTAAACAGTATAAAAACTGGAGCACCTAAGTCATTCTCAAAACCTTGTCTCTTGTAAGCAAGAGCACAAAATTATTATTATGGTACCTTTTCAGCATTTAGTTAAATAACGTATTAAGTAATGTGTTGAGTAAACATGGTGTCCATTTTGATAACAAATAAATAAGCTTCCCCTTTAACTTCAGTATAATTATACTGAATATATTATAGTCACCTTTGTACAAAAAGATGTATCACAGGAATTGGTCCAGAAAGCACTAAATTGATATGAACAGAATTTGCTGTTCGGTGTAAATTTTTAGAATAACATGACTGCTATATTACTTGGGTCAAGTAGCATAAAATAATTACTCATGGCTTCTAACTTATCAATAACTTGTAAGAAGTCAAGAAAAGCTCTTAAAAAGCCAGATGCAGGATCAAAATGTATTCTTTTCATTAAAAATGAAGACCTGCTCTAAGGCTGCCTAGTCTGGATTACTGTATAATGTAAAAGCAGAAAACCTTCATTTTTTAAATTGTTGCAAGAAGTAGCTGAATGTCAACATGTCATACTAAGATGTCTTAGTTCCTCCATTACAATTTTTCAAATATACTGTACATAAAATAACAACATTTTGCTTTGCAAAATGTTAGTGGCTTTCAGGTGATATAAATATATTACAAGGCAGTAACTTGACACTTCTTTGTATAAAATGTAGATTCAGTTAAATAATTCTCCAAAAATATTTACATTCTCATAGTATGAACCCATTACAAGTATACACATGGACTAAAATAAATGAAGCAAGCATCTGAATTTGGATTTTAAAAAAATGGGGATTTTTTTTTCATTTAAAAAGCAAAGCAACATATAAACACAAGTACAAAATTAAGAACATTCCTGTAAATTATAGTTTTACCATGAAAATCAAAATGTACACAAGAAAATCCATTTTTTGAGGAAATAAAAGGAAATAAAGCGAAGCATTACGCAATTCTTACCATTATCTTTCATAGCACTATCAATAACATTCATTCCCATCTATTTCAATTAATATGAAACAATATGGATTTCCGTGTTTGATAACCAGGCCTATCAATCCATTCCCATCTTCATTCTTAGAGTGAACTCTCAGTGTCTTACTCTTAAAAAAAGTCTCTTATTTAACTGTGCTCACAATATTAACAACCTGACAATGATTTATCCTCGAGACATTTGTGCCATGGTTTCTGGACCACAGTTCACAAGTCTTCTTGAGTACAGTATATCATTTTCACTCTTGTACAGCTCAAGGTTGAAGAAGCTACAAGTTTGGAAAATTGTCAGGGCAAACTTTTTTGGAATGAGAGTTGTGAACTCTTGGAATAATCTGCCAGAGAGCCTTGTGATGGCACCAAATGTGAGCTCATTCAAGATCAGACTTGACCAACACTGGAGCAGGTACAGATACATTCTGAAGCCTTTACAGTACATGCCCAGTACTTGCCGTCAGTGTGTAACAGACGTCACTGACTGACCAAGTGGCTAATGAACAGATCAGTAGTGAAGATGATAAAAGTAAAAGTGTACAAAAAGAAGAAGCTTAAGCACAGTGTTATGTACCATAATTTTTTCTTTTTGGCTTCATTTTATCATCAGTAAAAATATTGTACACATACAGTATAATGTACTGTACCGTAAAATTCTTCTCCGAACTTTTTCCTTCTGATCATGTGTTTTCATGAAAAGTTGCAAGTGATTATCACTCACCATTGGCACCTTGCCTCTTAGTTCATAAATGTCTGTTTAATATAAATATGATGTCTAATTTCAAGTACTGTACTGTATTCATTAATTCCCAAATTTTGTTTTACTAACAGCGGCATCCAGTTTTATCAACAGGATTGGTCTTCCCATCTACAGAAAATTTGTCAGTATCCATAGATTCGGTCATCATCATTCCCTGCTTCTCGTTGTTAAGGATCTGTAAAAAAGAACATGTAGCAATAATTATTGAAGAAAATACTGTTTAGTTTTAATGTAGATATTTATACTGTACAGTAAAATTTATAATTAATAATTTATATATAAGGGAGGAATAAAAATTATCATGTAAATGGTAAGACAGGGAAGAAAGGAACAGAAGTGATAAATGATCAATATGGTTAGAAGCAGATTAGGCTGTGTAAAGAAAAGAATTAAAATTACCAGGTACCTATTTCAGACTGCAATAAGCAAGTGTGAAGAGTAAACAACTTTAAGTGCACTTTAAGTGCACTTAAGAGTGTGTCATTGTGTGTTCAAAGTCAATCTGTGTTCATAAGAATTACTGTACTATGAAACTGTCCCAATGAGGGAGACAAAGTACATGAACAACAAAAAACACTAAACAACTGAGACTTGTCCACGACAGTCAAGTGGCATACCACCCACCTCATCCCAGTTGGTCTGCATTAAAGTATAGTAGTATTACAAATATACAGTAGTGGGGTTATTTTGCAATGTTATGTTAAGATGTAACACCAAGAGGTAGTATAGTAATATGTCATCAAAAAATTATGAAACCAAGAAGCTTCTGTAAAATGGATAATTATGTAGTGTATAATATGATGAACATGTGTGCAAGTAAAGCATGTAATAAACCATAGTACTGTATGCATAATGTGTTGTCTATGGTAGACCCTGCTGCTGCCACATGGCATCACGAAAATTTTGACCAAGTCCCAGGTTGCTGATCTGACTTTCTGCCTCATTTACTCACAATTGCAGGGTCTCAATTGTTCGTCGTATTATTGACAACACAACATACATATATTGTTTCTCACTTGATTTTTTTTCATTTTGTATTTCTTTATTATTATTATTATTATTATTATTATTATTATTATTATTATTATTATTATTATTATTATTATTATTACATTTTCGCCCCCTAGGCCCTGATGTGGGTCAGTGACCTGTGCCTGGGTGGGCTAATCCCGCGTTAAAAAAAAAAAAAAAAATTGTTAGTTTTTTGTTATACAATATCAATAGTCTTTCTTCATTATCCTCTATCACTCACAATGTTATTAAGTCTACAAATAGGCTTTTGATGTGTCATTAATCTCCTACAATCACCATACATCTTACTCCTCTAACTCATGTGAAGATAAACAGACTAGTCACTCACACCACTATGCAGTCACTGCTAGCTGTCTGATTGTCCCATTTCAACTCATTTACTCTTATGTAAGATACCTATACTATACCTATACCTTAACTTTCATATTTAGAATGCTCAAATCTTTCATAAAGTAGATTTTCGGTTGATAGGTATTTTCCTGTACATCTATCAAACCACCACCTTTTCACTCATCTTACATTATAAGTCAAACAGTGTTTTTATGAACAATGCCTTTCATTTGGGGACCCATGAATCCTGGGTTGTTAATTTGTGCTTAACACTCACACATCATATACTGGGACTAAACTAAAAATTGATAATGCTTACCCATTACCACTAAGTCCTAAGACGGATTATTAAAAGCATCCTTTCATCTCTTAAAGTAAGAGGTAACAAGTTGTTAAGCCCCATGTCATCAGGTAGCTATGTAAAATCTCTCTCTCTCTCTGTTAGCGACAGTTTCTACACCTTAAATAAATTCATGTCAAGGCGGCCCTATGGCCGGCCATCCTCAAAGACGAGGGGCAATCATTATTATTATTTGTAGATTAACCATAGTAACATTGCAAGTGTTTGAGAATAATGCAATAAGTAAGTGATATAACTAAGCATACAGTATTAATATAAGGGAGAAAATACGAAAATTAAAAACAAAACACCTTTTTGTACCTTCGGGGTTTTCGTTCATGGGGTACAGGTAACGAGCCGATCAGTGGCAATGAAGATGAAATAAATAACTATAATTTTTTGTAAACTGAGGGCTCATAAATTGGGGACTACCTGCAGTTATAGGGATTCATAATACAGTACATTCTAACTCTTATGAATTGTAAAAAAAAAAAAAAATATAGATTATGAGCCTGAAACTTTAGTGCCTTTGTTTGTATTCAATGGGTATCTTGGCCTTGGATGATCAAAATGTAATATCTGTACAGTTAGAACTGGATTTAGGGGTGTTCAGAGTGTGCGGTCAAATAGGACCCTACATTTTCAGGGTACCTGACTTTAAATATGCTGAAAAAAAAAAAAAAGCTATTTAGGTTTATCTTCATTATGTCACTGACTAGTTTGTTTTTCTGCTGTTTTATGTACAATAGTTGGAAACCTGTTGGGGGGTGGATATATAAGCTAGGATACACCATTGCTTATTCAGAGTTAAAGGCAAAAATAGATTTCCCTGACAACAAACTGAAGTTCTCAGGCCATTGTGAGAAGGTGAATCAAGCAACTAATCTAACAGGGCATATAAGAAGATCGTTCAGATGTCTACACGGTCCATGTCTTTTAACGCTCTTCTAGAGTGAGATACTCTTCCATCTGGAGTACTGTTTCGTGTCTGGTCCCCAAAATATGCTAGAGACTGTCAGCTGATTGACAATGTCCAAAGGAGGGCCACCAGACTGGTGCCTGCTCTACGGTACCTTAGTTACCCAGAGAGATTAGAACGCCTGCAACTGCCTAGCTTATACTATAGAGGGGCAAGGGATGACCTATTTGAAGTTTATAAACATCTCACAGAGCACTACTCAGTTGAGTGTCCATACCTGGAGCTGGCGGGGACACCTGTCCCACAAGGGGTCACAGATCAAGGTTGAGGAAGCCATGAGTCCAGAAAACTGCGAGGGCATACTTTTTCAGAGTAGGAATTGTTAACTCGTGGAACATTCTAACACAGTGTTGTAACTGCACTGAGTGTGAGCTCTTTTTGGACTAGACTTGACCAACACAGGCATAGATATACCAATACATTCAGGAGCCAGTTTATGCCCAGTACTTGCCAACAGTGCATAACATAACAAACGTGACCAACTGCCCAGGTGGCTAACGAGCCGATCAATGGTGAAGATTATAAAAGTAAAAAAAGTAAAAGTATATGGTAGGCCAATGGCAGTGGTTCCTAAACATGGGGTCATGATCCCATATGATATTATTCATTTATGAAATTACTGTACTGTCTATGACAACATCATGTACAATGGGTGTGGTCTTTTATTCTAGAAAGGAACTTGAAAGACAATCAAATTAGGGTACAAGGGGGGGAAGATACTTCTGGAGAATTTAAATACCCTGTATAGGTGTGTGTGTGTTTGTACAGAATATCTTTAGTGTTATCTGAATAGTTTTTCAACCTTAATTGTGCAATAATTACCCACCTTGTTGACAAGAAAACGAGAGGCTTCATCAATGTTGATATTCTCCTTAGCAGACGTCTCAAACCAACCACTAAAACCTCGTTCCCGGCAATAGTCATCCATTCTTGCAGGGTTGTTTACCACACCTTCCTTTGGCTGATCACACTATTAATAAAGTGTCATAATTACTTCATGAATACCATTAATATCATCCAAACTGATTTATATAATCTTATATACAGCACATATACAGGTAGTATACCTTATTGTTAGCTAATAACTTTAAAGCAATCAAACACATCGTTTAGCAACATAAATATATATATACAGTGATATCCCCATTAGCCGGAACAATTGGTGCAGAGCTCTTCTGGGAATGAGAGATTTCCGGGTAACGAGATGACTCTCTCAAAGCCGGAAAAAAATCTCTCATCCCCAGAATTTTCCGGAATTTTCTGGGTAACAGAAAAATGTTCTTGGAAGTTCCAGATATTGCCCATTACTTCATCTCTCGAACCCGGAAAAATATCCCTCATCCCCGGAATTTTCCGGGCAATGGAAAATTTTCTCGGAAGTTGCAGAAATTGCCCATTACATCATCTCTCGTACCTGGAATTTTCCGGGTAATGGATTTATTTATTTATTATTATTACTTTTTAAAGTTCCAAGAAAATGCGCCTGATTTTCATCTCTCAAACCCGGAGAAACTTCCCCCATCCCGTAATTTTCTGGGTGTCGGGATTTTTTTTCTCGGAATTTTCCGGAAAATGTGCCCCTCGGAAAATTGGAGAGTTCTCGGACCATTGCGAGAAGAAGATAAATCAGGTAAATCAACTATTGGGTCTCATAAGAAGGTCGTTCAGATATCTAGACAGTCCGTCCCTCGTAACGATCTTCAAGAGTGAAGTGCTTCCCCATCTGGAGTACTGTCACCCCGTCTGGTCCCCAAGATATGCTAGGGACTGTCAGTTGGTTGAAAATGTTCAAAGGAGGGCCACCAGACTGGTGCCTGCACTTCAGCACCTCAACTACCCTGAGAGATTGGAGGGCCTGAACTTGCCTAGCTTATACTACAGACGGGCAAGGGGCGACGTAATTGAGGTGTATAAGCATCTCAAGGGGCACTACTCAGTCGAGTGTCCTTACTTGGAGCTGGCGGACGCTCGCCCCACAAGGGGTCACAGCTCAAGATTGAAGAAGCCGCAGGTCCAGAAAACTGTGAGGGCAAACTTATTCGGAGTGAGGGTTGTAAACTCTTGGAACAATCTACCAGAAAGTGTTGTGACGGCACCGAGTGTGAGCTCTTTCAAGACCAGACTTGACCAACACTGGAGCAGGTTCAGGTACAGTTAAAAGCTGGTGCATGCCCAGTACTTGCCAACAGTGCGTAATGGAGATGTGACCAATTGCCCAAGCAGCTAACGAGCCGATCAATTGGTGAAGAGGATAAAAGAAAAAGAAAAGTAACAGACGTGACTGATCGCCCAAGCGGCTAACGAGCCGATCAGTGGTGAAGAGGATAAAAGTAAAAGACTGTACACCCATGTCTTGATAGTTTCAGATTTGAGGGTGACACAAAAGATGCCCGTTTGACCTTGGCCATAGCGCATGAAGGTGGTCTCTATGGCCATGTCACTCCATATCCCATTATAGATACCATTATTGTGGTGCATGATGAGCTCAGATTTAACGAAATGTACACGAACATCTTCTGGCGTCTGCTCCATAGATCGGACATAGTACAGGCCATATCTTTAGATCAGACATAGTACAGGCCATATCTTGCATACTTGATCAGCCCAGCAGCATAGTGTGGCAACAAGGTTTATATTCCACTTTGTGTGTTATTTCATGCTAATTTCAACATTATGTATGGAACGATGGAGCTTGGGGCTGCATGGATCTTCATATGCATAAAAATATACATTTCTACAAATAGTCTAATAGTGAACATCTTTAAAATTTATTGAGTAATTAAAATTGCCCAAGGGTGGGAACTCCACACCCACCTGGAACTGTTCACTGAGACCCTATAGAATAATAATAATAATAATAATATTAATAATAATAATAAAATACAGTATATCAAATACTTTGAGGTTGGCCCCTCTCACTGCCGGACTAAACGAGCTGATCAGTGGCTAAGAGGATAAAAGTAAAAATTAAAAGTACAGGTTGGGTATCCTTTATCCAAAATGCTTGGGGCCTTAAGGGTCTTGGATTTGGGATATTTTCATATTTTGGAATACCTGTATCCTGTATACAGAACCTGTATAGTGCAGTAGCTCACCCCGCAGAGATGGGGCCCCAAGTCTATGCACAAAACTAATTTACAGCACATGGATACATATATTCTGTATGTAGTTTTATGAAATATAATTGAATCATTTTGGGTATAAAATATATGAAAGGTAAGCAATCACTACTGTCTGTTTGGCATCACCATGACGCCCGACTCTGAGGCGCTAAGCAGTCTGTGTCTTATCTTTATTCATTACACATAGTACATAATTACCCTAGTAAAAATGATGAAATATGCCATATTCACTGTATTAACTACCATAAATATAATGAAATAGACTTTCGGATCTCAGAGCATTTTGGACGTGGGAATTTTGTATAAGGGATACCCAACCTGTATAGGAAAGAGATGCTTTCCACTGAGCAAAAAGTGATAATTTGTATAGTTAAGCAAATTTCCCAAGGGCATAGTGTTAAAATGGAGGCTCCATTCCTAGAACCTGATTTTTTTATACTTTAGGCAACCAAAACTACTGTAACCAAACTAAATACTCTGTAATGTACAAAAGACATACTCAACAAATCAATACTGTACAGAACACCAATAAATGTACAAAATAATAAAATAAATAATCACCATAAATAGATTAAGCCTCTTGCTCATCTTGATGCAAATCACATCAAAACACTGGGTAACACTATTTGCATCGGTGACTCCTCTGAGAGATGCGTAAGCGAAGCGCAGTGACATGTAAGTGTGCTGTCATAGGCATAACTGGGTTTATTGGCTGAGACTAGAGTTTCGTGCCCAGCAACAAGTAAGTGTACCATTTGGTAGACTTCCTTTGCACGATGGTATATTGTGAAGCTAGCTAAGAAGGTAGGCTATTGTTTTGAAAGAGTAATTGTCCATTTTAAATAATGTCGTTAATAAACGAAGACCCGTTAAGAATAGTTTTCAATTCCCTTCCCCTGTGTGTGGAGTAGGGTATTCCTCGTAAGTGTCTTTGTGGTATACAGTGACCCCATGAGTAACAACATAACTATCACATATTTCCCCTCGTATATATGTTAGAGCATGATATACTTACTCCTACAGTTATTATCGTCTACTTCCATTTTCCCTCCCTTTCCCCAGTTTCCTTGGAGTGTGGGTGGCTGCCTGACCACAAACCGGCCATCCTTTCTCAACCAGAGCCTTTCCCTCCTCTCTCACCCCTCCCTCTCTCTCACTAGTATGAAGAACAAAGAAAGAAAGAAAGATTAAGAATAAGAAAATAAAATTAAAGAATAAAGAAAATAAACAAAGAAATAAAGTAGAAATAATAGAGAATTAAAGAATAAAGAAAAGAAACAAAGAAATAAAGAAAAAATAATAGTAAGTAGATAGAGAAATAAAAGGAAATAACACAAAGGTATTTATTACACGGGGGATGTCCTGCACTTCTCTTCCTGTAAACTCTGTAACTGTCCCATCACTAACACTCTTCAACACTATTGCCTTGACTGTCCCACTGTCAGGGACCTCCTACCAAAGGGAGACTCACTAACCACTATATGCCACCACCTACGTATTCATAATAATTTAGATTTAGTTCTTGTATGCTACCAACACTCTGGTGGTTGCTAACTCCCATTGTCCTTAAATCATATCAATATTGTCTCCATATCACAAGTCATAGCATGTCCTGAGAGACACGAGTACCAATGTATTAGTGTCTGACTGCATTGTCTTTTAACTAGGCATTGCCCCCCTGAGGTGTAATAAATTAATTAAATAATAAGCCCAGCAGGACTAAACATAGGCTCACAAGCAGCAGATGCAAGTAGTGGGGTGTTAAGCTTGAGAGAAGTCACATACAATAATATCGGGAAAGACCATAGTAGCTCTATTCCATCCCCTGGGCATGCCAAGTAGCTGTCAAGCTCCTTCAGTTGAGGAGTTTGTGGAAGATTGTTGCCTCCATAGTATTGAACAAGCAAATGGCAGAAAGCGTGACTTGGGCGCTTAAAATCTGTGCCCAGCCATCTTTTCTACTAATGTAATGTTAAAACCTAATATTATTGATATTTCTCTTAATTATTAATTGTGTGTGCATACCATCATAAAATTAAGAAGTTATTTTTACTACAACGTAGGTATTGTGTCTGAAAAAGTGGAGTTTGGGGGTCGGCCCGGTCTCTATTTCAATTAATCCCATATGTTATGTTGTTCACTTTACGCGTTTCTCACTTTACGCAGGCCGCTGTGAGTTGAATTAACCGCGTAAAGTGAGGGTTCACTGTACCCAAAAATGTTACTTGAGTACAGTACTTAAGTAAATTTACTTAATTACTTTACAACTCTGGAAATCATGTGCTAACCTAACCTATAACTTAACTCGCCTATATCTAGAAAACCAAGCATTTACACAAGAAATGAATAGAACTGAAAATACAGGGGTCCCCGGGTTACAAACGGTTCTGTTCTTGAGGACGTTCTTAAGTTGGATTTGTATGTAAGTCAGAACACATGCTATGTGCATACCGTACTTTCAGAACAATGTTTTAAATCCCACTATATCATAGCCTAAGCCCTTATATACATCCAAAATCATATAATTTAAGACAAAAGAAGAAAAAGAATGACAAAACACAGTAAATGAAAGTAAAAACTAAGTCCTCTAGTAAATAAAAGACTGTAAATTTCATGTTTAACCCAGTTCATATTGGCAGGCGTTCGTAAATTGGGGACCCCCTGTTCAGTGTACAAAACTGTGTTGTTCAGATGTCTAGATGGTCTGTCTCTTGAAACGATCTTCAAGCGTGATATGCTAGAGATTGTTAGTTGATTGAATATGTCCAAAAGAGGGCCACCAGACTGGTGCCTGCACTACAGAACCTCAGCTATCCAGAGAGATTAGAGTGCCTGCAACTGCCTAGCTTATACTGCAGATGGGCAAGGGGTGACCTAATTGAGGTGTATAAACATCTCAAGGGGCACTATTCAGTCGAGCGTCCATACCTGGAGCTGGCGGACGCTCGCCTTACAAGGGGTCACAGCTTAAGGATGAAGAAGCCACAAGTCCAGAAAAAATGTGAGGGCAAACTTCTTTGGAGTGAGAATTGTGAACTCTTGGAACAACCTGCCAGAGTGTTGTGATGGCACTGAGTGTGAGCTCTTTCAAGACCAGACTTGACCAACACTGGAGCAGGTTCAGATACATTAAAGAGCCAGTGCATGCTCAGTACTTGCCAACAGTGTGTAAGAGTTATGACTGATCCCACAAGTGGCTAATGAGATGATCATTGGCGAAGAGGATAAAAGTAAGACGGCGGCCACTTCTCATATATTAGCCGCCACAGTATATTATTTACATCTGCCACATCACAGCTGATGACGCGACTGTAATTAATGCTATCTGAACTCGCCTAACGATTAACACAAGAAAGTGAATAGAACTGTAAGTAATGAGCATACAAAAATGTGTCTTAAAACGCTCCCCCATAATTACTGAACCGCTGTCGGTCACGTCTTGTATATTAGCCTAATTATTAATCACAATGTATCATAATAAGCTTTCTTCAAACCTTGTTTGCCAGAAGTACTGTAGGAATGGGTGAACCATCAGCTAGGGTGACTTTAGTGTCAAGGTCTGTCTTCCACTTGGCCACGGCATCAAAAGTTTGGGCACGAGTTACATCAAACACTACAAAAGCTCCAACTGCCTCTTTATAGTATACTCTTGTCATATTTCCAAATCGTTCTTGACCTGAAAAGATGCAGTTAATATACCTGATTAAATTTATTAAATTTCATTTATTTGTGGATATACCAATAGTTCCTTACAAACTATACTGTAATGCATTCTGTTACTTTAAGTGAATTACTGATGATAAACAGTATGATCACAGAAACATACTTGCAAAAATTACAGATTACAGTACTGTACAGTAAAGTCCACTGTATAAGTGAATTAACCCTTTACTACTATCACTGTCTTCGTGTGATTTACCAAAATTGCACCATTGCTGTCTTGGTAAATTTGTATAAGTTACCAGTTATTAAATTTTGAGAATTTTATGGTTGTAATCATTACAGTAATTTTATTGGTGCCAAAAAGAAATTTTTTCTCTTGTGGGTTTGCTTTCTCAAGGACTGAAATTGTGCTACTGACCTACCATTCATAGGGAGATACAGTGTACACAGTGATAGCACATAGAGATACCAACAACTAGTCGAGGAGAACTGGAAAAAAAGTCAAACTGTCTTGGACGGCAACATTGGTCAAACGAGGGTGTCAACAGGTCAAGACCAGCAGGGGGCAGCTTAGTGAATTTAAAAAAAAACATTAGTCTGCCACAAGGGCATGATCACTCACACATCTCAGTTTACTTAGATTATAATTAGTAGATGTGATTATAAGGGAAGTCATCCTAGCGAGGGGTATATTTCTTCTTCAAAAGAAATTAAGTGTGAGAGCCCGGTGGTTGGCACTAAACAAAGAGGCCAAAGTACGCTGGCAGTGGAGCGGGGCTTTTAAAGGGGCCTTGACGTTAAAGCCCTGCCACCAAGACACAGATTAGAAGCAATTATCACAGTAATAATAAAGATTAATATTATTATTATAAATCTAACGATTATAATTATACTGTATCACATTGTAAACTGGGCTTAAGGCTGAGTAGATTCGTACAGAGTCTGCACACCCCCCTCCTCCCCAACAGCAACAGCCATGAGGCGTAGGGAAACGGGCTATAACTCCAGCATCATCAGGAAGTCTGTTGACATGTAATTACTGCAGGGTGAAGTCGGATGTACACTGTGCGGGTCTGGGCAATTAAGCGTTTAGGATGATACATAATATGGTAAAGCATGAAGGCTGTTGCTGGTATTGCCCTGACTGCAAAATCAAAGTAGAAGAGGCGATTGCAAACCATAGGGGAACGAGTTTCCTAGGGACGAAAATAGATGAAGCTAGATACTTGCTGGTTGCCAAACTATAAAATGTTGGGAAAGAGATCCTGGCTAAGACTGAGGAAGTAGCTGATAGAATGGAGGGAGTAGTGAAGAAGAGTTATGATCAGGCTATAGCAGGGCCACGGAAGGTGGCGGAGAGTAATGCAGGATCTGAACAGGTTCTACAGCAGCTAGGGACTCTGATGGAGAGTGTCGAAGAGATGGCAACTAGCAGACCTATTGTTAGGGGAGAGGAGGAACAACGGGAATATTTCAAGCGCAGGGACAACGTAATAGTTTTTGGAGTCCCTGAGAGCCAGTTGGAGGAAGCTGAGAGTAGAAAACACACAAGTTGCAATTTGAGAATATTTGTATAGAGGCTTTGAATATGTCAGGGCTCACTCAGGATGTGAGGAGGCTAGGTCAAAAGCATGAGGACAAGCCTCTCGCCCCTCAAGATCACACTAGTGAGTGAAGATAAGAAGTGGGAAGTTTTTCAGCAGGTAAAAATCTTAGCAAGGAGTGAGGCATTTCAGAATATATTCATTCACCCAGATCGCATGGTAATGCAGAGGGAACAGCACAAGAAACTCCTACAGGACTTGAAGCAGAAGAGGGAGGAGTCGAGGCGGAACAGGGACGGGTGTACACGGGTTACATCCAGGGGGAAGGTAGTGGAAGCACGAACGCAAGCACAGAGCCAGGGGGCAGTGGTACCCCCCCCCCCACCCACTCTACCTCCCACCCAGGAGGAGGCGAGTGCCATGTAAACAACGACATCTCTGACCACACCCCGCATAATACAATGTATTTAGCATATGCTGCAGCTGCTGAGAATGGAGGGGGCCGGAGTCACTATCAAGAGCACAGACGTTACTGAGAACAAATTCCGGCTTGAAAGTCATGTACACTAACACAGAAATTCAAGGTGTGGGATAGGTTAAACGATGAGCAGGACAGGAGGATGTATGCAAGATCCAGGAAGCAAAGAGTCAGAGTACAGAAGGGCTGAAAAGGAGTTCCAGAGGCTGATTGCAAGCGAGGTAAAGTAAAAACCAAAGGCGTTTTACCACTAAGAAAAATCAAAATAAAAAAATGCGAGTAGGAGGATCGGACCTAAGGCAGCATCTGGCCAGGACAAATTGGAGGCATTAAACAGTTTCCTTTCCTCGGTTTTCACGAGAGGATGCAAACAATCTTCTTGCATTGGAGGACAGACGGTTCAACACAGCGCGGACTCACATTGTGTTCACAGAAGAGGTTATAAGAAATAAATTGCCAAAGCTAAAGGTATATAAAAGACCCAGCACCTGACATGGTGCATCCCAGAGTGCTAAGAGAGTTGTGCAATGAGCTTGCAGAGCTCCGAATATCCTGTTCTGTAAATGACTGGGTGAGCAAAAGATCCCCAGTGATTGGAAAATGACTTATGTGAATCCTATTTTCAAGAAGGGCGATTGTCACTCCACGAATAATTATAGACCCGGGAGCCTGACCAACATAGTATGCAAAGTACTTGAGTGCATTATGAGAGATGCCATACTGGAATATCTACTATGAAATAACCTTGTAAAGGATTGCCAACACGGTTTTATGCTCCTGTTTAACACAATTACTGAAGATACTGGATATATGGACCCAAATTCTGGAACAGGGTGGTAATATCGACAATATATACCTAGATTTTGTCAAGGCTTTCGACAGCATACCCCATGAAAGGCTGAAAATTAAACTGGAAGGGTACAGAATTCGGGAAGTGCCCTAGAGTGGATCAGAGACTTTCTCCATGATCCCAAGCAGTGTGTGGTGATTAATGGCACGAAATCGTCATGTGTACCTGTGACAAGCGGGGTACCACAGGGCAGTGTGTTGGGCCTGCTGTTGTTAGTTTGCTTGTTTCATAAATGACATGCCAGAAGCTGTGTATTCCTCCACACAAATGTTTGCGGATGATGCTAAATTATTTAGGGAAATTAAGAACCAAGCAAACTGTGAACAGCTGAAGAAGGCTCTCTGTGAGCTTCAAGAATGGCCGAAGAAATGGGTGCTAAGATTCAATGTCACGAAGTGTATGAGGATGCACCTATGAAGTACCAATGGTAAAGGCGTATCATATGTCCCAATGAGACTAAGAAACTGCATTAATTGAGACTGAATGTGAAAAGGATCTGGGTGTGTATGTTGACAATGAACTGAAGTTCTCGGGCCACTGTGAGAAGGTGAACCAAGCAACTAAATTATTAAGTCTAATAAGAAGGTCGTTTAGATCTTCAAGAGCGATTCCATGACTTCAAATGGTTTTAATATCATAGGGACACTTGACAAAATATCAAATAATATAATATTAAAGTTCGAATATGTTTCATTGTGTTATTTATTCTTAACTTATATTTTTGTAAGAATGTTACAGAGATCAGTATTTTCTGCAGACACTGTAACCCGAGACTTCCATTTATAACTAAGACCTGTACGAAATATCCTTCAAAATTATTTGATATATTCTAACAGAAACCACATGGAATATACATGTATCTAGTATTGCCCACAAAAAATAAGTAAACAGTCACCACAAACTTGTTTTTCAAGCAGAGCTTACATGTCATTCAAATTATACCTTTGCAACACAAATTATATACTGTACAGGTATTCCATACAATTCTCACTGAAAAAATTCAATAATAATTACTGGCTGTCTTAGACAGTGAAGAGATAACTTACCTGCAATATCCCAGAGTTGTAGACGAATCACAGTATTATTGTCCCAATTTAGCACTTTGAGGGCAAAGTCAACACCAATGGTGGCCCTATAGTGCTGGCTGAAGAACTGATGGACATATCGCTTGATGATGGAGGTCTTGCCAGTACCCAGTTCCCCAATTACCAATATCTTGTAGAGGTGTTCGCGCTTGTCATTGCTCGACCCGGCCTATAGGAGTAATAATATAATTAGTGGCAAGAAGAACCAAACAATAAAATTTGTGAGGAGTATAATGAACACTCAATGAAGCCCAATATTCTTTTAATTATTGTACTGTATATTCATTAATTACAAATACCTGAACAAAAGTAAACAAAACTTTTTCTAAACATGGTACAGTACTTACAGGAAAAGACTGTAACAGGAATTATTATATACAGGAGAAAGCATTAAAATGGAAATTAAAATCACACAGGAGATGCTAAACCATCATGAAGTATAAAGTTCAAAAGCTCTTTTTTCATCATGAATACTGTAATGTCTAATACTGTATACAGTACAACTTAAAGTAAGCTTCAAGTACATTTATGGAATACAGTACTGTAGCAGCAAATGATTATAGTACACAAAGAACATATACTGTATTGTATTGTATTGTATACCCTAATAGAAACTATCATAGAAGGTGTCTGGAAAACAATCAAAATTTCATAGGTAAGGTCTCATATTTCACGAGCACTACCTAATGTAACCAAGTCTTATACTTGGGGTAAAATATCGTGAATTTCGCGAGATCCAGCCACAACTATGACAGGTTTCACCCCAATCCATTCAATAATGTAGCAGAGGCTGATTACGAAATATATTTACATATACTGTACAGTACACACACACAGTGCACACACACACACACACACAGTGCACACACAGACAAACATTCGATGCCCTCTGCTGTATTCTCTGCTCTATCAGTAATAACAGGAGGATAACAACTGATGGTATGACAGAACACAAAACTTTGAAGAACAAAGCGGTTAAGGCATCTTTTGACTCACTGCTTAGTGTTTTTTATGGGATTTTCATTATAAAATTATAATGCATAAAAAGGCAAATCCGGTGAATGAACAAGGCACTTACGATTACAAATTTACGTGATGTTGCCAGTAAGCTGTTGGCTCCTGAGAGCACCATGAGACATGAGAGAGAGATCTTTTACATTCACTGCATTCAGGTAATATTTTTGGGACCATAAGTCTCAACAACTGTTTTTTCTTTATCATTTGGTGATTTGTTTGTACAGTATATGGTTCAGTACTGTACAGTATCAGTATGTGTCAATTCGCTGAAGTGGCAGAAGCCACAGCCTTGTTGCTTCTTTTTAAGTAAATTCAATCTTTTTTTCATGCCTCCCTACTGAATTTGCATTATATGCAGTAAAACAAAAGTATTTGTGATCAACCAGATTTTTTTTTATTGTGTGAGTCTAAGGGACATCCTTAAAAAAATCCACATTCAAAATCACACACCCCTGAAAACTACTATTGGTACCCTTTTTAAAGGCTAAAGTAACACACTGAAAGCAACAACCACAAACATAATACCTCGAGAATAACTACAGGTACCACAAAAGTAACACTTTGTGGATAATAACCACAGAAGTGACATCTTTAGAAAAACTACCACAAAGAAACATCTCAAGGACAACCACAAAAGTGACACTTCAGGGATAATAACAGTAACTGCAAAAGTAACTCGAGGGCAGCCACAAAGTTGACAAGAATAACAACCACTAAAATAACTTATTGAGGATAATAACCACAAAAGTAACACATCGATGATAACAATTAGTGTAAATGGTACCCGGTAGTTACCCTTGTTAATCGCCACAATAATCCACCTAAGAGGGCATTCAGGGGTGGATCCTGGGGGTCCTTGGGGTCCGTGCCCCCTCCCCCCTTTTTAATCAGAAAATTCCAATACTTTTTCTTTAATGCAGTATTGTACTTGGCGCTTTTTCAGAGCAAAAGGTAATTACTATGAAAATCAGAATATCTCCTAACATCAAGTGCACACGGCCTCAAAATGCCCATGATATTGGCTAAATTTCAAAAGAATTCTGGGGACTTACAGCCCCCACACACACACACAACCCACCAGCTGGGTGGGCTCCTATGCTCGCCATGTTCCCCACCCACAACTTTTTGGAGCCCCCTTTGATAGTCCTGAATCCGCCCATGGTATTTCTCAGCCAGTAAGTGTTCATATTCACACCTGCCCCACTATAAGGGTCACTGCTTAAAACTGAATTTAAGAACCACAAGTTCAGAACTTAGTTGCCAGGGCAAACTGTCAAACTTTTTTGGAGAGTTGGGAAATGGAACAATCTATCAGAGGGATGTGACGGTACCGAGTGTGAGCTCACGCAAGACCAGAATTGACCAACACTGGCGCAGGTACTGTACAGATACATTCTGGAACCAGTACATGCCCATTTTTTTTCCAACAGTGTGAAACAGGTCTATCAGTGGTGAAGAAGATAAAGTAAAATATGAGAATAATCAAGTAAAATCTCACCATATGTCCGTGTCAGGCGGGGTTCGGGAACAGAACTCCGGCAAGAGGGATTTCTTCACATAAACATTTTCCATCTCAAATTAAAATGAGAGATTTGATACAAAACAGGCTATCATATCATTGGAGCTCGGGCAGCTTGAGCTTGAAAAGGTCGAGATCATTATTCTTGGTAGGGTCAGGGCCACAGAATTAATTCATAATAGCTTGCAAAGAAGCAACAAGTTCCATCCAAATGCCTAAAGTGGATGTTTTAATGCTGTTAGAAACCACATACTGGTAATTAATTACATCATTGTGATTCAGTGTGGTTCATTACCTCACTCTAATTAATGCAACATTGTGAGTGTACTTTCTAACCACACCAAAATAATATTCCGAATATAGTATTACAGTATTCTATCCTCATTTAACAACGTAAACCTACAGCAACAACGAAAACAACCATAATCGCCTTCGAAGTCGCAATAGCACATATCAAAATATGTTTATCTTTAAAACAGTATTATAAATAAATATCAATTGTGGATGTAAAATAAAATATTAGAATATGAGGCTTGTTTCATCAGGGTATGTACCAAATGATAAAATACAATCACAAAAAGTTCTAACAATTTAAAGGCCTCACTAACACAGAGGTGAGGAGTCGTGGTTACGTGGGAAGGTACAGTCGAGTTGACAAACACGACGGCCTAAAGCCTTACAACGCATCACCCATCGACTTGGCTGTTTCACCTTACATCCACTCTCTTGTGTAATGCCCATCTTATTTTTATCTATCTCTCACTTAATCTTATGTTAAAAAAAATATGAGTGAGAGGGAGGTGTGTGTATCATAGCCACAAGCCTCAGCACGCATCGTCTGCAACAGGTCACTTGGTGTGGCTTTAGTATTCTCTCCTCACATTACTTCACGACCAGTGACTCCTTACCCCAAGCACGCTGGATTACGTCCAATCTCTTTATCTTTTAGTTAAATTTCTTTCCTCTGTAATGTCATCGATCCTCTCATTTTCTCTCGATGAAAAACCTACCGCGTTCTTCTTCGTCCTGTGGCAATGCTAACTTACACCAGCTGATCCTGGTAAATACAGTACTACCTTACTGCTAGCATGTGCGCATGCTACAAGTCTTTCAATCTGGACTTCTTAATATTCAATTAATGTACTCAGTGCAATCTAGTACGAGAATTCGGTTTGTCAGAACCACATGTAATTGTTACCATTACTGAAATTTCGAAATAACTACGTCACTAAAGTATACTGTATAAAGAAAGCTTAATCTTTAACTTAATTACGTTCAGTAAGAAAAATATTGATATTGTCATAAAACATGACGACAAAAACTAAATACAAGTTTATGAAGGTTTGCCTATAATGGTTTGTCAATAGAGGGACTCATCTTCGCCAAGTCGCTAAACAACTTGAAGGCTATGTGTAGTGAGCGTTTCATATTTAGAAATATAACATGTGGAAATTCTCTCTCTCTCATTTCACAACTTTGGGAATTACTGAATGCCAGCTGGTCACCATAAAAGGAAGATAACTTATAAACTATGAGAAGGAATGAAGTTCGTCGTTTATCAACCACGGGTCTGTGTGAAACTGCACAGAACCCTAAGCAGCTACTACAACTTGGAATGAGAGGGCAACCAAATTACAGCTCTGAGTCTGAGGAGTATAATATGAAATTCGCTCACGAGCGTATAAAGACGCAGTTAGTGTTCTGACTATAAAGTGTGTCGCATTCTGCTCCTAAAAGCTAAATAATCATTGAAGGTAATGTAGATTGTGTAAAAATCTAATCGAAGAAAGTCATAACTCTAGCAAGTAAAGCAGGAAAATGCTCATTATCGCACTTTATCTTGATTTTATGATATGAAGCTGTAAAACATATTCCATTTCCATCCACATGACCCTTTTCAAGTTACTGAATGGAAATGACATCCAATACGGGTAGCTAGTAACTACGTAAGCCTCCGTGAAAAGGGGAGTAAGACAAATTTCGCAGAGAGTTTGACTGGTCACAGTCAAGACTTCAAGATCGGTGTGAACATGAATGACCGGTCAGGCTATCATCCACCAAGGCGTGAGGTGTCAGGCTATCATCCACCAAGGCGTGAGGTGTCAGGCTATCATCCACCAAGGCGTGACGTGTCAGGTTATCATCCACCAAGGGGTGGGATGTCAGGCAATCATCTACCAAGGAGTGAGGTGTCAGGCTATCATCCACCAAAGCATGAGGTTCAGGCAATCATCCGCCAAGGCGCAAGGTGTCAGGTTATCATCCACCAAGGGGTGGGATGTCAGGCAATCATCTACCAAGGAGTGAGGTGTCAGGCTATAATCCACCAAGGCGTGAGGTGTAAGGCTATAATCTACCAAGGCGTGAGGTGTAAGGCTGTAATCTACCAAGGCGTGAGGTGTAAGGCTATAATCTACCAAGGCGTGAGGTGTCAGGTTATAATCTACCAAGGCGTGAGGTGTCAGGCTATAATCCACCAAGGCGTGAGGTGTAAGGCTATAATCTACCAAGGCGTGAGGTCACTGAAGAGCGAGGGTGGTCATGCCCGTCGTCACAGGATAGTGAACTCATCTTGAATTACCTGACAACCCCAGCAGGTAATCCCGCTCACCTCCTCTCAACATTTTCACACCGTGGCTGTTATCAAACCCATTGTCAACACTCAGCTAATTACAACTTATCGCAAATGCCCACATATGCTGATAAGTGGTTACGTTTAGCATGTCTAATACTTTAGTTGTTCAGATATGACTGATGAGAAAAAATCAAGTAGTTGAACATACCAATGGTCAATTTCTGGTCACACTTGTTCCGTAATGTCTTTTTCTTTCGTAAATATTACTTGGCAAATATCGACTAGTGTGTGGACCTGGCGCTTATGATGGCCTGTCTGTGTTATAAATGTAGGACGTTTAGTTTGGGCCAGGGTGGTTAGACCTAATCTAACCTATCAGTGGTCCAAACGTCTGCTCACCCTGTGTAATAGCAATCTTAAAAAACAAGTCTTCGAGCTGTTGCCTTACAAACTCCAAAGGTGGATCATAAGTCATTGACTTAGGCTTCACGGGACATGATCAAGGTCAAGTACATTAGCTGCATTCTTTCCTTTAAACTAAACAAAGCTTCAAGAACAAGAGGAACTGGCACATCGTGGGAGATAATGGAGGATCAACTCCGCCGTCATCCTGGCTGGTGTATCCCCCAAAAATTGACTGTAAGTTTTTGTTGCAGTAACATTATTAGTCATTGTAAACACCTGCTGCAGTTTCTTTCACTCTTATGCACACCCAATTGATGAAATAGAGGCTACGTGATACATGGTATACAATCCAGCTCCGAATACTCTCACTAGTGTGTATTTGGTGATGCAGTTCTGGTAATACCCTTAATAAAGTCTTACATTCACCCAGCGAGGAACGAATAGGACTACTATACTAAATGTGTTACCACAGACAAACAAATTCGCTTGCACTGAACAATGATGTTGCCACATATGAAGAGTTAGATAAATGGTTACTGAAATATGACTGATTAAAATATGTAAACAAAATAGTTAATTTTAGATAAAGAGAAAAACACTTTGAGGTATTATATAATTATAAACACTTCTGCACTTGGCGAGCAAGTTAAATAGCGGTTATACAGTATATTATTCCACTAAAAGAGGGAAACGTGAAGTGCAAGGACCTTAATTAACTATGGATGACTTCATTGCCGAAATTATATTTTTTTCATTGTACAGTAGCATAAAATAGGCGACGTACACCCACTAAAAAATTATTCGGCATCAGTGTCAAATTGTATCACACCGTAAGGGTGCCAAATAATTTTTAAGTGGGTGTACAGTACAGACTGACCAGAGAGGCCATCCCGATGTGTGCCAATAAGTTGTTCACCCAATAAAAAAATATTTGGCACCCTTACGACGTGATACAATATGACACGGGTGCCGAATATCTTTTTAGTGGGTGTACAGTACAGTACTGTTCTCATTGAATTTCTGGAAGACATGAACTCACTTAATTGTAAGTTCATTAAAAAGAGGGCTAAAAGACACTGGAATTAGGGAAAGTCCCACTGGACACAAAATACAATTTACTTAATTAAATACATAACAATACCATGGCAGTGGTCACGGTTAAGTGAAGATGCAATACGAAGTTGAATGTTGCATTCAAATTAACAAATCTCAAGGAAAAGAACGAACCTTCAAATAATTTACAAAATCTAGGATCAAATGCAGTACAGTTAAGAAATTAATTGAAGAATAAATATGAAGCATTCGGCGAGAATTGTGGATTAGAAAAGTTAACGACGATGGAATGAATCTGGAAAGTGTTATCTCAGCTGCAGGCGAGCAAACTATAATGTGGAAACTTAGCATCTGAAGCTAAAAAAATACCCGAAGAAAAAAGTAGACGGGCGGATCACCTGAAGATTACGAACGCAGCTTTATTTCACCTAATGACGCTTACCTAACTTAATGTAAACTATAACCCCACTCTAAGGAGCGTTTGGGTGTTTAATCATCTGGTAAAATAAGCTGAGGGTACCTAATCTTCAGGTGATACAGACCGACCAGCGGGGGATGACCTCCCAGAAGCCGATGACTGCTGAACGAAGGTGATCCCTTCCATCTATGGACATTTCGAAGTGAAAGGTCTATAGATGTTGACGCTACCTGATATAGGGTAATCTTCCCTGTACAGTATTGACCATTATCGAAAATGACCTGTATTTTCATGAGTAAAATTTATAAAATTTACAAGTAATCGGTCTTAAGAAGGTAAAGATAGAGCAGGAAATCCAAATAAACAAGAGATAGACATTACCACTCTATGACAGCCAAAATCTACGCATAAAAATTAAGAAAGTAAGAAAAAAAAAAGAACCAAATAAGATGATCTTCATAAAACACCAGGAAACAGCTTCAAATATAACTACCAGTCATTAAATGAGCCATTAAATAGAGGCTTTACGACCAAGGAAACATCCATCCCTGCTACCACACACCGCTGAATCTACTGTACAATATAAACACCTGAAGAGCTTTAAGCAGATCTGTACAAAATACAATGTAAAGAAATGGTTGAGAGAGGAATCAATCAGGACATCTCTTTAAATGTTGCAGAAAAGGTACCTCATGCACCCAGTCACACGACATAACACAAGATGGAGAAGGTGGAATTTCTATAGACTTATTATAGGAAAGTTTTTCTATGTACAAGATATAATCATTATTAATTTTTAATTTAAAATGAGTTGTGAACACTTGTGTCGGAAGAGCGTAGATAAAAATGTGTTGTGTTCATATACAGAACAATTTTCAATAAATTCTGGTTTACAGTAGCGTCACATGCAACCAAAACAAGTTAATTTTAATAATGACATACCCGGCACGTTGTATATTATACTATCAGATACAACACGGTACTCTTAGTATAATGTCAAGTGATAGTGATGTTATATAATTATAACGCCATTATTATTGTTATTACTTAATAAACATTTTACCTATTTTTTCTCGGGGGTTTAAATATAGTCGCGTTATAACTTACCTTGATTATGAAGCCATTGCTTCTGTTCCTTTAAAAACAAACTACTAAAACATAGTATACTAATTTTGGTAGAGGTATTTAAAATTTACTCATGGAACACTTAAAATGTATAACAAACGTGATACGGATGAATACACCAAACATCTCTATTGTGAGAAAAAGAATCGTGCCACATTTTAACTGGCAGACTTAGACAACATGAATGCTTATACTGTGACCATAACTGACACCATGACAGGGCACTTGATTGATTCTCACCAAGTTTTATCTACAAATACAGTACGGTTTGTAAAGAACAAACATCAAACTTCAATTTACATGAAGCATAACTTAATACTTTAGAAACAACAACCCACCACACCCGGTGTTTACTTTGTGTACACACATGCGGATGGAAGACTTTTAACTTGATCACATCGGAAAGGTATAGACGATTGGCCGGGTGCGGCGTTTACGTAAGAAAAGCAGGACTAATAAGGAAGGAGATTGCTACTGATACTATACGTAAATAAGGAGCAGAGGCGTCGAACAGCAGGAACTGACGCCGCCTTACGAAAACAAGTAACTACAGGAACTTACGCAACCGAAGATGGACAGGCAATAGCAGGCACCTACGTCACCTTGACAAGGAAGCTCAACAGCTGGGCCCTATATACGTGCCCAGATCACAAGGATCACCATACCCAAGAGCCACTTGTTTGTCCCGACGAATCCATTAACGGGTTGCGTTCATTCCCTGATCGGTCGCCCTTTGGGGTCTCTCGTGCGTCTCGCCCATGACCCTCGGGGCTAGACGGGGGAGTGGCCATGCCCGAGGCCGCCACCGGTCCCACGACTGGACTCGCTTCCACACTAACGCCCTCTGGCGACGTTTTTGTGAGTTTGGTGTCGTCCTCCGGCGGCGTGACAATGAGCGGCGGCGGGGTAAGAATAGGCGCTGTATTAACACCACGCTCCACTGCCGGGGGCTGCTTGTCTAAGGGGGATATAATGTTCTCAAAGGAGAGACGCTTGGGAAGGACAGGAGTGGGGGATTTCGATCTAGAAGATGATGTATTAAAAGTTGGGTTGGTAGCTGCCCGCCTGACTGTCACCTGAGAAGGTGACACGGCCGGCACGGGCGCTAGAGGGGTAGGGAAGACCATAGCGCGTCTGAGTACGACACCAGGGGAGGATGAATGCGTAAGTTTAGGAGATTCTGTTTGCTTTGACACAATAGTGACTGTTGTTCTCCGCTTAGAGGTTACCTCGGCTGTAGATGGCTTGCTATCAGCTGGACTTGTCGTAATCTTCTTTGTTTCGACTGTAGACTTAGTCTCTTTTGGCGTTGTCTTATTCTCTGCTTCATCGACGCTGAATTTGGATTTCGCTTCAATAACTGGCTTATCTTGAGGTATTTCCGCATTTACCGACCAATTCTTGACAAACTGGACTGAAGATATATATGAGCGAAACGAGGGACTCTGGGAGTCGGCGGGTTCTGAGGTTGCGCCTTCGGTGTTAGTTGTCCCAGCAGCTGCGGTCGAAGGGTCGCTATCAGCTTTCACAGTATCCCTCTTCTCATCCGCCTTCATCTCTGGCGAATCTAATGTTGAACCCAGGTCCGTGTTAGCAAGTGAGGCATCAGTGGTAACAGAAGACGCTGCTGATGCATTACTCATGATGGACGATTTCGATCCAGAATCAATTTTTATTTTTTTGTCTTTACGTACGAGGAAGCTCCCAAATTTAGTCTTCTCCTTCTTCTTTTCTTCCTTCTCGTCGGTTTTCTTAACACTGTCGTCGACCTTGGCAATCCTGGTAGAAACTGGAGAAGGGGTCTTGCTGCTGGCTGCTGATCCTTTGGGGGATGTTGTCGCGCCGTTGAGTCGCTCATGAGTCGCCTGGTGACTATCAAGGTTCATTTCTAACCCCTCGGCCTTCTCTTGATTCTTGTTTCCCACAATAGTATCACTCTTCACAGGCGCTGGACTATTTGGGGCACTTGACTCGGAATCTAACAAATGGTCTAGTTCTGCGTCACTGGTCACGCTGATACCGGTTGAGGCAGAACCTCCCTCAGATGCTTTTTTCTGTTGACGTAACTTCCTACCAGTCTTCCGACTTTTTCGGAAGGACGACATGAGTCCTTTTTTCTTCTTGTCGGCATCTTCTGGCAAGCTGGGTGAGGGAGTTCCATCTACAGTACTCATACTGGCTCTCTTTCTTAAAGGAGACAAGCGGGGTGAACCGCGAGGAGATAGGGTGTTGGTGGTGGGGTGTGAGGTCAGTATAGGACTAAGTCTACCAGGATTCTGCAGTAAAGCTTTATTTCGACGATATCCAATGGGAGATAGGTCAGGGCAGCTCGTGTACCCCCAACACGGCTCACTGCCACGTCGGTCAATTGAACACTGTGAAAGATCAGGATGTGTGCACACACTGTTGCGATGTCGTGAAGTGTCCGGATGGTCTCGTTCTCCGCTCGGATTGTCGAGGCTTACAAATGAAGAACGACTACAACTTGGAAGAGTTTGGATCGACTGAGCAGAGTCATACAAAGTTGTTTCACTGTGAAAATCCGAACTTATGAGAGAAGTGACGCTGTCATTGGGCCGAGTAGTACGATAAGACTGCACTGAATAAAATGAACCTGTGTCACTGTCCAAAGTAGCGGTAGTATCAGATCCTTCACTACAATCTTCCAGACTGTCACTGAAATTATTTAGGGAGGCGAGTGAGTCCAAGGCACCAGACCCGCGACGTTTGTGGCAGCTCAAGCTATCACTGAGACTCTGGCTGCTCTCATCCAGACTATCATAGAAGGGTCCGCTGGCAGGCACCTCGTGTGACCCCAGGCTCGGCGAGTCTGCTTGAGCAGTAAACGGCCAGGCAGCAGCACCAGCACTGGACGCTCCCGCAGTCGAAGGCTCTTGCTTAGAGTCGCCAGGAATGGTGCTCATCACTCCCAGTCAGCCGACTGTCACTGGTAAACTCGTCCTCCCCTGGTGCGTGCTGAGGTAGCATTACCAATAAAAAAAACCTATGCACGATGAGGACTCGCCTTCTTCATTCTAGTTCTCAGGATCCTTGACCCCACACGTGCTAGTTATTCATTGCACATACCCAGGTTGCATTCACTGATGCCACTCCCAGACGCCGCGACACGTACCAAACCTTCGCACAAAAGCTGGCAAGTCTATCAAAGTCACGTAATATCACAACCGTCTTGGCGTGTCTCTCAGGTCACGAGCTCGGATCAGCATTCACCTGGCAGTCAGGAGCCTCTCGGGTGTGCCCGGTAAAAATTTTCTGATAATAAGATGCGAGAAAGGCCAAGCTTACAAGGGTTGGGAAGCAATAAGCAGGAGGCAGGCAGCCCCCACACGTACGGCAGGTAGGTTGTGGACAAGTGAGTGAAGGGCAGGCCGGGTGGTGGTCGGGCTTCACGCTCACCCACACTCACGTACGCACACACGTGTACACACACACGCGCGCACACAGACACACAGACAGACAGACACACACACATATGTGTGTGTGTGTGTGTGTGTGTAAATAAATATATATATATATATATATATATATATATATATATATATATATATATATATATATATACACACACACACATTGTGTGTGTGTGTGTGTGTAAAAAAAAAAAAAAATATATATATATATATATATATATATATATATATATATATATATATATATATATATATATATATATATATATATATATATATATATATATATATATATATATATATATATATATATATATATCTTATCCACGTTTTCATTGTGGATCTACATGAAATATATATTTCATTAGCCCAATAAAGCACGCGGACTTCTACATACAATCAACACCTCAACCCGCCAGGATTCGAACCCACGGACCACGAGCCCATGACTGGTGGTCCAGAGGTAGGTTCCCCGGTCGCAGTCATGGGCTCGTGGGCCATGGGTTCGAATCCTGGCGGGTTGAGGTGTTGATTGTATATATATATATATATATATATATATATATATATATATATATATATATATATATATATATATATATATATATATATATATATATATATTGACGCTTACCATTGTTGAAGCGCATAAATACTTTTTTTAATGGTGTTTTTTCTTAATAATATAATTGCAATGGATATAAAGTAATGTAACTATCAACACCTCGCACAAATTGTAAATCATCTAGTGAGCAACATGTGTGCAGCCATTTAAAAGAATCTTGCAAAGTAACATGTCCGTGAATGCGCCTTTACCAAGGGCAGGAATTATCGAAAAGGACAAATATATGTTAAAACTCGGTTATAGTTGTTGAAAGGGTGAAGGTTAGCATTCTACCAGACTTTTTTTTACTTATTTATTTCTAAAATACATGAAAATTTTAGCTGATATATAATCCTTTTCAAACAAGCCAATCAAGGTTGAGCTGAGTTAGAGTAAGCGTTATTAATTACACTTTTTTTTATTTTTTACGGGAATTAGCCCACCCGGGCACAGGTCAAACGACCCACAACGGAGCCTGGGGGGAAAAAAAAGAACGGAAAGAAATTGAAAATATAGAAAAAAGGTTATACTGTATTAATCTACACCACGAAGATGCCGGAAAACCAGCTTTTTAAAGTGAGACAGATTGTAAGAGCATGGAAACACAGAAGAAGGCAGAGCATTCCACAGTTTGGCTGTGTGAGGAAAGAAGGAGGTACTATAACGGGTTATTCTCGTGTGACCGACATCCACAGAGAAATGGTGGGCACCGCGGGCAAGACGTGTGTTACGAACCCACGGCCTTGCCGGCGGTACACAGGATGCCAAATCCACTGAACATTGCCCGTTAAAGTACCTGTAAAAGAGAGAGAGTGAAGCAACATTGCGGCGAAGAGAAAGGGGAGAGAGATTGTCGACTAAAGGAGGAGAGTTAATAAGACGAAATGCCTTTGATTCCACCCTATCTAATAGTTGGACAGAAGAAGAGCCACCCCAGATATGAGAGCAGTACTCCAAGTTAGGACGAATGAATCCCTTATATACTTGGAGCAACTGCTCAGGAGTGAAGTAGCTGCGGCATCTGTACAGCATTCCCAACTTTCGGGAGGCAGCTTTAGTTATACTAAGGATGTGTGATTTCCAGGACATATTGGAGGAAATGGTGAGGCCTAACATATTTATTTCAGAATTTGGGAGGATGATAGCGTCCTGAAATGTAATTGGTGGGAGATTTAGGATGAATTATTTTTACTCGTTTTCCGCCCTGTGGTTAAGCAGTCTTTTTCAACAATGACCTCAACCTCCAACAGCGTCGTATATGACGCTTTAATTTACTTTTATCCTCTTCACCACTGATCGGCTCGTTAACCGCTTGGGCGATCGGTCACGTCCCTGTTACGCACTGTTGGCAAGTACTGGGCATGCACCGGGATAATCAAGAGAGTTTCTTTTGAGGACCAATTTACTCAGTTTACAGAGCCGTATGTAGTTTGAAAATCATCTGAAGATTAGGCATCCCAGCTTAATTAACCAGATGATTAAACACACCAATGCTGCCTGGGGAAGCGTTCCGTAGTTTAACATCAGGTGAAATAAGCTAGGGTGCCTTATTTTCAGGTAATCCATAGTTTGTTCCGGTAAAAATCATCTTGCCTATGCCTGCTTTAAATTACTCTCTATTTCGAAGAGTTTTTCTAACCGCAGAAAGCAGTTACAAGGTATTTTGAGACTAGTAAATAGTTGAAAGTTCCTGAGACAATGCAAAATATGGCTGAATTACATGCATTAACACTTGAAATGTGAGCCACTGTTAATTACAACTGTTTAAGGCAAAAACTTTAAAACTCACTTAGGCTAACATTACACCTAACCATCCCGAGAAAGAACCACTCAAAATACACGTCAGACCACCTGTATACGGTAAAATCTACCGGAAACCAAATTTTTCACTCTCTCACACACACACACGGACTGACAGGCAGAGGGTGTATGCATTGTTTGTCCATTACTGGCACAAGAAAAACAAGAATACAAATAAAAATATGAATAGCAATTACACCAAAGGAAATTATATGGACGGATATTACGAAGCAAAGAATCATTGGCTGGAGCAGGGGAGAGCAGCGCCACGATCTGGATTCATAACTATTCCAAAGTTTACTCCTGCTCGTAATTGTATGTTGGGCTCAGAAACGAAAAGCGACCACAACGCGTTGTGGTTGTTTGGAGAATAACTAGAAGCGAGATTTTGCTATAGGTTAGGTTAGTTTGGATTGGGTTAGGGTAAAATCCAAACGCAAAGTTTCGCTTTCTGGTTATTTTTAAGACAACCACAACGCGCTGTGGTCGCTTTTCGGTTTCTGAGACCAACATATATACAAACAACGGTAACTGTTTTAATGATATCAAAATTACAAGTTCATTTTACACTACATTCGTTATTTATCCCACACAGCCTAGCAAGGGGGAACATCAATGAGGGGACAATGATAATAAGGAAAACCCGCCACACTAAACGTAAATATAGGAATCACTAGTCTTGTGTACAGAACTAGTGTTCGTATCTGCTGGTGGATCTACAGCTGACGCCCAGAGCGCCTACTTCCAACACCCACTCGCCCTGCGACGCCTCACTTTGCATTTGAGGAAGGTGAGAATAATACAAATAATTTAGTAGAACCAACTCAACCCATACTACTCTACCAAAGGGTTACCGGAATTATCGTTATCATGTATTGTCCACTGTAACAAGAAGCCTATTTCAATATCAGCGCCCTGTCGAGCTTGATAGAGATAACAATTCAATTGCACACTTGAATTTTTTTTCAATTCTATTATATTTTGATCTTGTAAATATATATCTATAATACATAAATGAGCATAGACCCTCCTGTTTTCCTTCCAACAGGTGATACACATTTTCAATACACCCTTGGTCAGTTCTGCATATCCCCACCTGCACCCCTGGACGAAAATTTCTAGATACCGATATATATATACCGATATATATATATATATATATATATATATATATATATATATATATATATATATATATATATATATATATATTTCATTAGCCCAATAAAAGCACGCGGACTTCTACATTAATCAATTCGAACCCGGCACACAAGCCGTGTGCCGTCAGGTTCGAATCCTGGGGAGTTGAGGTGTTGATTGTGTATATATATATATATATATATATATATATATATATATATATATATATATATATATATATTTCATTAGCCCAATAAAGACGACTTCTACATATAATCACAAACTTCGATCAACCCACGGTGCACCGTGTCAAAAGTTCAGATCCTGTGGTTGAGGTGTTATTATATATATATATATATATATATATATATATATATATATATATATATATATATCTTGATAAAATCACACGGGAAAATGGAAACAACGTGTGATTTTATCCAAGATTTATCTTATCCACGTTTTCATTGTGGATTTACATGAAATATATATATATATATATATATATATATATATATATATATATATATATATATATATATATATATATATATATATATATATATATATATATATATATATATATATATATATATATATATATATTACGATTTTTTGGCGGAATCGTTTATTTTGCAAAATGACCGGCAAGCATATTGGTAATTTTGCAAAATAACTTACAAACAGACAACCTAAACTTATGGTTGAATAAGGTTAGGCTAGGATGGTTCATGTATCTTATTACACAGTGAAGTGGTCCTGTCCTTTTTTTTTTTTAACTTTGTAAGTTATTTTGCAAAATAACTTATTCCGCATAAAAAAACGTAACATATATGTTGGGCTCAGAAAACGAAAAACGACCACAACGCATTGTGGTTGTTTTCAAAACGGCCATAAAACGAAATTTTGCGTCTTGGATTTTACCCTAACCTAACCCAATCCAAATTAAACTAAACTAACCTACAGCAAAATCACGCTTCTGATTATTTTCCAAACAATCACAACGCGTTGTGGTCGCGTTTCGTTTTCTGAGCCCAATATATATATATATATATATATATATATATATATATATATATATATATATATCCGATGGTGTGCGTGTAATTTACAAGACAAACAACCAATAATGAGCGCCTAATAGATTCCTGCAAGGCCAAGTTCATGATCATATTTTTTTCTGTTAACATTTTCCTTATTTTCTGCATCCAAGAGGTAGGAAGGAGTAAAGTAGACGCACTCTCTCTCACCTTCATCTGGCACTTTCTGGGCTTGGTGCTTTACAGTCAAGGTTATACTGCGTGTTGCAAGGAGAGTAAATGAACCTTTGGTAAG